TGTTAAAACTTGAACACCTTTCTGCATGTGCATAAGCACAATAACATCATTAGTCTTACAGCAACATTTGCTTGAGAAAATTAATATAGTCAAAGCAACTAGTTATTGTGTGTATAGGACAGTGGTCATAACCTAAAGTTCATTTAACAGGTTATTCAAAATACTATTTTTCAGTCTCACCTAAATTAAAACTCTTTTAATGAGTAATATGTGCCCCTTTACTTGTCTTTCATTCATAATCATACCGTCTGACGTCATTGCCCCGTCACAGATTTCACATAAAAGTTTCTGCCAAATGAAGTTATTCAAATGTTATTCAAAGTAATTCAGAGTGGTTTGATTGAAATGCTCCATCCTAGAGAAACTTACCAAGTCGCTCAACTGTTCACAATGGTGGTGATGGGAAAACATTTTCAGATTTACCACTTTTTTTAACATTATCAGCATTACAAACACACTTAAAAAGATGGTTCTTCCAGGGTTCTTCGGTAAAGGGAATGGTTCTATTTAGAACAATAAGTACTACATAGAACCATTTCATATTTAAATTGTTCTCTGCATGGTGAAACAGTTCTTCAGAGAATGTGTTGGATATGATGCTATATAAAACTATTGTCTTTACTAAAAAACCTGTGAAGAACCATCTTTTTTAAGAGAGTAAAAGAACCCTTTTTGGTGCTATATAGAACCATTTTCAGAAAGGTTCTATATAGAACCATATGCAACACATTTTCCATTTCCGAAAAGGTTCTTTGCCCGGTGAAATGGTTCTGCAGATTGATGGAGAATGTGTTGTAGATGGTTTTGTAGAGAACCTTTTTAAAAATGATTCTATATAGCACAAAACGATTCTGGTGTTGTGACAATGCCACACTTGTAACAATAGGAGAACCCCTTTTGGTGCCATAATAGAACCATTTTCAAAAAGCTTCTATACAGAACCATATACAACACATTATCCACCAATCTGCAGAACCACTTCACCATGCAGAACTCATGGTTCTATACAGATCAATTCTCTTGAAGAACCATCTTTATTGAGAGTGTAGACTATAAAAACTGTGAGAAGACAGAAAACAGAAGACACGTGTAGGTTCACTGGTGGTTTTGGATAGTAAATAAAATGGCTATATTTGTGTTGTAGGCAGTGTGACTCCTGGTTCCCATCACCACCAGTGAACCACTGCACATCAAACCACTCTGAATGCAAAAATTGGCGCAATCTTCGTTAACATTGTTCATTTAAAGTGATTTTCCTTCATTCACACTTACTTTTGCAGCTCGGCTGCAGAGCTCCGCTTACCTTTTTGTTTATTTGGTGTAAATTAAGATGCCAGCGTTCTTTTAGCCAAAACATGCGTATAGAACGTGCCATAAAGCTGCGGTTGCTGGCTCAATAAATAATTGATAACTAACTGAAACGTGTACCCAATGAAAGAATAAGCCTCTTAAAGGAAATTCGAGTTGCATTTGGAATGTATAGCCCAGTGATTGCCACCAAAAAGGGTTTAAACGGAAGGACTGCTCTGTTTCATTATTATGCGCCACAGAGCGGAGTTGCTGTAATTCAACCTGCTTCAGGTTCGATTCAGATTCTGTCCTCGACAGAAACAACACAGCCTTGTTCAAGCGTGCACAGATGGGACACCCACGCCATAAATATGCACAAAGATGGTCCCAACCGAAATTATCCGGTCCACCCCCCACCCCACCCCCCCCACCCCTACACCAGGAGTGGAACAAGGAGAAGCTGCAGTCTAATGACTCCCCTGGTTAAAGGAATGACGCGTGCACAGCGCGCACCATCCATCTGAGGCAACACACTCCAACAATGCAAACGCTGGTTGCGGCTAAAACATGTTTTATTTGAATTGCAAACGGGATCATATACAATAGGCTAAATGTGAGTCTAATAGGGGTCAGTTGCAGTTTCAAATACAATACAAATGAAGCCACGTTCACTGTAAACTTAAAGTAGTTGACTTATGAAGAGCATGCACACTTAAAATAAGCTACTTAACAGGTTCAAGCTTAAATAACTGCATATTTGAGTTATAGTTGCTTCTAATGTTCAGCGATCCACGCTTCTTTAGCCAGCAAAGTTAACCCAAACAGTCCAGTCATTTTAAATAGAGTTAACTTTAATCAGCTTAGTTGGATTCATCTCTCATTTATTTACCAAATAACGTCAATAAAGTTGTTCAAAGTCATCAATCAACACAAAACACCACCATAATAACAAAATATGTAAAATCCAAACTTTACATTGTAAGTAAAACATCACTATGCGAAGAGACCAATGAACATTTTGGGAAAATAATTTAATAGATTGAAACCAACAACACTGCTAAGAATGCTGCGAAGCTTTTTGGGCAAAAGACTCTTTAGTCTGTAGAACGTATCCAAATGAACTGATCTTAGCCAGAGTTACCTAAGTAACTAATGCATTAGCAAGAAATATAATGGAATAAGTTAGCACAACTGCACTGTATTTTACAGTGTTTAAATAAATGTGCCACTAGACAAACAAAGAGTGACGTAGACACAGGCGTGATTAAAAAATAGCTTTACAAAATTGTGATTATGAAAAAGCAGCCATCTAGACAAGCCAAGGCTTCGTGCGTAACCGCCCCCTCCCCAGCGATGGCTAATGCGGCTTGGACGCTATTTTTGAAAAAATAGTACGCTATGAAAATGCTGGTGGGATGAATGTTGGTGGGACGGTCCGGACGCAGAAGAGGTTCCAAAAGAGTTTGGCGAGACAGATTTGTGGGGGTGGTGGTCTTGGTAACGGTGGCGCGCTTTGGTCAGGGTCACAGGCTTCCATCTGTTACGCATTCATGGCTCGTGCCGAGCGCGTGAGACCTGCATCCATCAGACAAAAAAACTAATAAGGACTCCACGGCGAACGGCTTCATACGTGCCTTCAATGATTCTCCTCTGTTCCTACATGCTTCAGAACCGAACAGAAAGAATGGACCCAAGTGGAGACGCACCAAAAACGCACAGACGCACAGGGAGAACTCCTCAAACTGTAGTTATTATTAGTTTGCTTTGCATATATTGAGTACTGGGTTGTGTTTTGGACCCTTGCACACACACACACGCACCCGCCCCAGCCCCAGTGTTCATAGGGAGCTGAACGGCATTAAACAGCCTCGTTTGCATCCGTGTTTGTCATTGTAAAAGTTTACGCGTGTGTTAAGCCTTCTAGCGTGGCTTGGGTAGCAGCATGTTATCGTCTTCTGGAAATCGAGAAATTTGACACCACCCCCAGCTAGAGCCCACTGAGCCTTTCAGCTTTTCTTTATCAATGCAGCGTTGATTCAGGTGGGATATCAGGTCATAGTGGATGGGGTGTTAAATAATACATAAATAAGACACGTATATTATAAGCTCTGCATTATAAAGACATTCTTTTATTCTGTTTCCCATTAAAATGACTTTTGTAATGTAATATCCATTTGCTCTAAGCACCAGCTCAAAGTGGAACAAACAAGAGCGTCTTAATGGCTCATAAAACCTGAATCCATCCCATAGCTGTCATCAAATTCAAAGCTTGGAAAACCAACCCAAGGAAAACCAACAAAACCAACACGATTATTTAATATAATAAAATTATATCAATATCAAGTTTAAACGCGGATTCAAACTGTAAAGTCAGCAGACATTCAGAGAGGTTTTGCATTGTAAGGAAACTAATGGTTTACAGTGGTGGTGATGGGAACCATGATGTCTGCAGTGCAAATATAACCATTTTATTTTATTTTATTTTATTTACCATCCAACACCACCAGTGAACCTACACGTGTCTTCCGAGTACTGTATACATCTAAAGATGTTTCTTCAAGCGTTCTTTAGTAAAAAAAACTGGTTCTATATAGAACCATGAACACCAAAAGAGCCCTTTGTATGATTAAAGGGTTCTTTGCATCGTGAAAGCGCTCTTTAGATTGATGGAGAATGTGATGGAGAACCTTTATTGTAAAGGGTTCTATATAGCACCCAAGCTTGCCGTCGTAACAATAGAAAAACCCTTTTTTTGGTGCTATATAGAACCATCTACAGCACATTCTCTATCAATTTGAAGAACTATTTCATGATGCAAAGAACCCTTTAATCATTCAAGAGGTTCGTTGAGTGTATAAAGTTCTATATAGAAACATTTTCTTTACTAAAGACCCATTGAAGAAGCATCTATTTTGAGAGTGTAGAACCCTTTTTGCTAAGACTGTATGGTGCTGTTTTGCCTCTCCAATTGCCCGCATGTACCTCTCCGCCCTGGATGGATAACAAAATATATTGGTTTTATGCCAATATCTAATCCTAAAAAGCTAGTTTTATTGTTTCACTTGTTATATTGCTTTAATTTCTTGATAGTTGTAGTTTTATTGTATTATTGCCCTTTTTTGCTGCATTTATTTCATTTGCATATTTTATTTTTGATACATGTTTTACTTTGTATTCTGAAGCACTTTGTTACTTATTATTATTATTATTATTATTATTATTATAAAGCAAATTACAGGCTTATACTGAAAGCTGCATGTGCGAAATAAACAGTTTTTAAATATCTTATATAAAATAATTTTTATTTTTGTTTTGCCTTTGTTTTGCCTTGTTTTGCCTTTTAAAGTTGACTTATTGTGCACGACAAGCCTTGAAGCAAGCCCGTCAGACGCGGCGCGTGCCAGCAGTCCTGAATAAACTCAAACATCAGTCAACAGATGGTCGCTTGCTGCGGTGGGAATATCCACGGTGTTTTTTTTTTTAGTGGTGGGCGGACTGCTTGTATGAACTACTGTTCAAGCCTTGCGCTGGAGGAGGAGGGGGGGTGCAGGTAGCCAATCCTCGCTCTGGGGTTGGTTTGAACGCGGATGGGGGAGGCAAACCAACGCTCCTCTCCACGCCTGAGACCCTTATAAAAGCCCCAGCTCGGACAGTCCGTCCACAAACCGCTCTGTGCATCTTCCAAGCGCACATCCAGCAAAGGTCCAATCATGACTCCCAGCATTCTCAACACCTCGAGCCCCTCATACAGCTCCCCAATGACGGTGGCTCAAAGAAAAGAGGCGAACGAACTGAGAAAGGTGAGGACCACCCTGATGCTTCATCACTGAACCACACATGAATTCTCATCATAGCGTTCAGGCAGATTCTGATCACTGTTGCTCTGTTTTGCAGACTCTCAAACCACTGATGGAGAAAAGAAGGCGCGCGCGCATCAACGACAGCCTCAACAAGCTGAAGGCGCTCATCGTTCCTCTGGTGGGCAAAGATGTAAGCAGTCCCCTTCTAGAAGGAGAAATATCTCTACACTCTTCAAAAAGAAGGTTCTTTGAGTACCCATGGTTCTATATAGAACCATTGTCTTCACCAAAGAACCCTTGAAGAACCATCTTTTAAAGAGTGTAGCCTACAGATTCCCAACATAGCACGTTTTTGGATTCATGTACTAAACGTCAATCTAACGTTTGGAATGATTTCTCCTTTTGCAGACCTCACGCTACTCGAAGCTCGAGAAAGCTGATGTTCTTGAAATGACCGTCAGGTTCCTCAGAGAACTTCCCTCCTCGCCAGTAAAAGGTATATTTTCACGTTCAGTTGCATTTACTTTAGTAAGTGCCTTAGAACACCATGCATTCAGGCTAAACGTTGGCAAAACATCTAAACAGTCTTCCCTTCCTCCACAGACCAGGCAGACAGCTACAGAGAAGGTTATAAAGCGTGTCTGCAGCGAGTCTCGGCGCTGCTCCCTCACACCGGCCTGGACCGAGAAGCAGGTCTGCGGGTGAATGAGTTCATGCAGCGGGCGATGCTCTCCGCCAGTCCGGCGTGCCAGCACTGCTGCGGCCACAGTGCCTCGGCAGCCCCGCAGCCCCAGCAGCGCCTCCGCGGCCTCCAAGCTGTTAACACCCCACGCGTCCAGAGCACCTCCAGCCTCGCAACGCCAGCTCCCAGCCGCTCTCAGCCCGCAGCACAGGCCCTCAATAACAACATGTGGAGACCTTGGTAGACCAGAGCAGCACTGAGAGACTTGAATGAGAAAGTAGCCAATGACTTACCTTTCACTTTGTATAGACTACAACATAAGCACGTGAAGCCCGTTAGAGAGATTATGTTCAATGATGTATCTTGCTACAAACATGGCTTACTGAATGAATGCTTGTCAAATGAGCCAATGAGCACAGATCATGGATACTGTAGATGTGCCATGTATGGTGACTTAATGCAATCCTCTCCGGGGTTTCAAGGAAAATGGGTTGTAAACAACACAATTGTAAACCCCAAGGGTTAAAATGTATTTGATGAGGTTTGCACGATTGACTTTTGTATATTTGGTCTGTGCAAAGAAGCGGTAAACACTGTGTGTTAAAGTTTAATTGTGAAATGAATTTGATGTAAACGTCATTATTGTGAATCGGGACAATAAATTCACTGTGGAAATGTGGAAATGACTGAGCCTGGAGTTTTCTTTCCCCAAATCACTCAGAATCAAATCTCTAAACAGCTAGCAGATATAAGAACGAGTGACAAAGACTGAAAAAGAAATAGGCCAGCAGGTGTTGTCTGGTTCTGATACGGTGTTCTTCATTATCCTCTATAATAACAAACAAAGAAAACGTGATGGAAAGAGATAATACTGAGTCATGTGACGTCATATTATCCATCCAGAAAGGTGCCTCAGTTTGCGCGGGAAAAGCTTGTGAACTCCTCCCCCTTTGGAGATTCCTCGAAGAGGGCTTCTAGTACTCCACTGCAGACAGACTTACACATACAATTCAGACAGGTTTATTCATTTAAGCTTAATAAGGAGTGTCCATGCAGTATTTTTGCTGTAAAGCCCCTGTCAGCATGGTTTCACATGCTTACATTTTTGTTTTAATGGTAAAGATATGTCACGAAAAAAAAAAAAAAGTTTATCAGTATTACATTCAAGAAATAGAGCCCATTTAAATGAATACAGCTTAATAGTAGATAAAGGCTCCCATTCCGAGCTGCTGTCCGCTCAGAACTGTGTGAGTGATTGACAGCGGCGTCTCCCAGGCAACGTAAACTCAAGCGGCAGCGCAAAGCGACACCGCCAATCGTTGCGTTTCAGCCTTCCGCGGAGAAAAATAGTCCCCTCTTCTCCACCGCTCTCTGAATGGTGAGTAAAAAGTGCAAAATGGAGAACAAGCTGTCTAACGGTCATTTTAGAGATTTAATGACGTTTTTATTTTTATATTTTTTGATTGAATTAACACTCACGTTATATGGGTTTTGCTTCTACACTATTCTACTGCAAGCACTCAAAAGGAAAAATAACTAGCTTGCAGTCAGAGTTAGCCTGCCTCATAATACGGTGGGTACTTGTTAGCCGAGGTTAGGGCTAATTCATAAATAATTAGCTGGTGTTAAAGTTACTAGGATGTTCAACATGAGCTGAAGCGAATTATCAAAGATAGCAGCAATAATTTTAATATTAGCCAGAAGAACTGGATCATTTTGCTTCACCTGTAGCAAAAAGTCCTGGCCGATGCCAGTATTAGAATGTCACTAGTCTAATGAATCACAAAAAGTGTCTTTTTTTACAGTGTATGTGAAATCCTAGTGAAGGGAAAGCAATGAATTCAGACTGACTTGTGTTAACCTGAAAACAGGACAAAAGCATGATATTTTATGTTTTACCTTGTAAGATTGTTTTTGTTTTTTACAGTCTCATCTCTTTACAGTCCCAAATCTGATGCCTGTAACAAGTTCCAAAAAGATGGACAGGAGCATGTTTACCACTGTGTTACATCACCTTTTCTTTTAACAGCAATTGATAATTGTTTGTGGACTAAACACATCAACTGATTCAGTAATGAAAGCAGATTTTTGTGCTATTCTTCCTTTTTCAAGTCTTCAGGTGTGCAACCATACAGAGCCATTGTTGTTGTATAGTGTGTGCTTCAGAATATGCCACACATTTTTACAGCTCTGGACTGCAGGCAGACAGGCACTCACACTCTCTGATTCTGCAGCCATGCTGTTGTACCACGTGCAAGATGTGGTTTGATGTTGTCGAGTAAAAAAAGCATAGGCAGCCTGAAAAAGACGTCACCTAGAAGGCAGCTTATGTTGCTCCAAAATGTTTATACTTTAAGAGACCCTGGCTTTTGAACTTTATGCTGGTAACAATCTGAATGGTCCTTTTCTTCTTTGGTCTGAAGAACACAATGTTCATTATTTCCATAAACAGTTAGAAATGTTGACATGTTACACTACAATATAAATTTTCACTGTTCATCAGTCCTTTTCCTATGAGCATTGCATTTGTGGATGCAGCAGGAAATGGTGTTTCTTGCCAACATTTTGTCAAAATGTATAGCCATGGTGATGCCTATAACAGAAGCATCCTGGTTTTTAATGCAATGTTTTCTGAGGAATCAGAGTTCATGGACATTCAGGTGTGGTTTTCAGCCTTGCCCTTTATGCACAAATATTTTTTGGCTTCCCTGAACCTTAAGATGGTGTTTTGCACTGAAGAGGATGAACTACGTAAAATCCATGTCTCAGATTTTTTTAAATGCCTTTATTGCTTTTATTGCAGGCATTAATTTCATGATGAGTATTAGATTACATTAAAGATCTTTTAACATGTGTGTACATTTGCACTGTTCTTGGTTAAACACAAGTGAAAGTGGATTTACAAATCTCTGTGTTCTGTTTCTGTTTGCATTTCACATACTGTCCCAAGCTTTTTAGAATTGAGGTTTGTATATTGGTCTTTTGACATTAAAACAGTACTGTATCTGTGACTGTAAAAAAGTTTTAAGAAACAAAGCGAGGAAGAAACACAAAAGAAGAACACTTTTTAACAGCAAAATTAGTTAATTACTGTGTTCGGTTAGCTAATGCCTTTTTCTAAAATCTGGGCATTTTCTTCATTTCCTTCTCTTTTTTGCTGGCTATAATGAGATGACCGAGCTGACCAGCTAGTAATAAATAAAAAATATGGTGAAGGCTTTTATGTTAAATCTGACAATGATTAAAAAATGGCAAAATGCTACAAAATAATGTTAGCCAAGTTTCTCTCAGCATTTCACTGCCCACTTGCTTGGATATTGTAACATCCTGTCTTGCTCTGTTGTCTTTCTCCATGTCAGCCTTTGTTTTCCTGTTCCATGTGCTTTTGTTTACATAGGCCATGTATTTTTGTTGTTGTTTTGGTCTTTGTCTCCTCCCTGGTCCTGCTTTCTTGTCATTTGTTTCACCTGTCTTTTGTCTATTGTGTGTGACCCCATAACCAAAAAAGGCCTTGTTTTGGTGATCGATTTGTTTTCTAGTTTTCTTCATGTCCCTCTGTCTTTGGTTTTCTTTGTGTTTCAGTGTTTTGTTCAGTAGTGTTCTGTCTTGTCACCTTTGTGGATCCCTTAACGTTACAGATATAGCCAACCTTTTGAAGTATTCCACTGCATCCTGCTCAGTTTTTTTCATTTCCTTTGAGGTGTCACCATGCTTTTTCTACTTTTCAAATGACTCATGTAGGAAAATTGCTGCATTGCTAAGCAATGAAAATGTTAATGCTCTCTGCAGAACACTGTCTGTTGTATAAACTAACTCATGATTCACACTGCCATGCCAAACTTGAAAGGCTAATCTCTAATCACTCTACGACATTGATTGTTTTCATTGAGAAAACAGGGGCTGCACCGCTAGAGGAGAGAGCACTGACTTAACCCCAAATTGATACATATATAAACTTGGTTGTAATGTTTACAGTTTGTCTGTACATTCATATGTTTATATGTGTGAGGTTAGGCATTAGCCCTTAGTAACTGGCCTAAAATGGGCCCGGCCCACTAGAAGAGTCACCTCTGACTCTCCTGATTACGTACTTAGGCACTGAAGAAGTTAGAGAAAGCCAAAGGGGAGTGCAAAGGGCAAAACACATAAGAGGAATGCATAATGAAGAAATCATGTACAAACAGAACAAACAAACGGCACATTAATATCAGTACTATGAGGTACCTTGGAAAACAAAGGGCTGTATATACAAAGTACAAATACCTGGCAAAAACATTCACTGAGTGAGTTTAAACACAACACACTGGAAAGCAGGATAACAAGGGACTAAGCTAGGGAAACCAGGAGACAAGACTAATGCTGGGGTACTTTGCAAGCACTAGTATACGAAGGCTTCTCTTCAGTAAATAATAACATGCACTGAGCAGGCATTAAGTGTTATGAACTTGCGCAGTCTTTAGGGTGGATAAAATCACTGCAAGCCTATTCTCAAATAACCAGTTGGACACTCCTATTACAGATTCAGTTTCATACACTCTTAAGAAAGATGGTTCCTTTTTAAGAGTATATGAAAGAACTTTTTGGCTTTATAGTTTAAATGTCATGATTGGCAAAAACAGAACACTGCATTTCAGCACAGCATAAGGACCTCATCCCAATAGTGAAACATGGTGGTGGCAGTTTCATGGTTTGGGGCTGTTTTGCTGCTATTGGACCAGTATAGCTTGCCATCAGTTGATAGAGCTTGAATTCTGTATTGTATGAAGAAATTCTACAGGAGAATGTTCCTTCATCCATCCGTGAACTGAACTTTAACAGAAGGTGGGTCCTGCAGAAAGACAGCAACCCTAAAAACACCAGTTAGTTTACAAAAAATGACTGAAGAAATTTTGCCTTTTTTTGTTGGAGTGGCTGATTTGAAGTCCAGAGCTTAAACCAATAGAAATGTTGAGGCAAAACTTAAAGTGTGACATTCATGCATGAAAGCCCACCAACATCACAAAGCTGAAGTAGTTCTGTAAGAAGGAATGGACCTCCAAGAAGATTCCTCCAAGTGAATGTGCAGGACTGATCAACATTTACAGGAACTGTTTGGTAGACGTCATTGCTGCTCAAAGGTTACTGAAAGCCGAGGTTCATATACTTTTGCAACACTGACAGTATTGAATTACTTTTTCAATAAATGAATGAACAACTATGCAATTGTTTGTGTTATTTGCTTTCTTGAGTTCTCTTAATCCATTA